CCTCAGCCTTGGCCTGATCTCACCTTTGATTTTGGATTTGGGTCTCCTCATCTCTATTATTAAAGACCTTAAAGGTCAGATTAACGAGATCTTCTTGAGGGGTTTGTGGAAGTTTGCAGCGCATGTCCGGGGAGTAAAGGTGGTCAGGTCAGTGGAAAAAGAAACCTGAGGATGGATGCAGAAATAGAAGAGGCTGTTGAGGAAGGCAGTCTGTGGGTGGCCTGAGAATGAGTGTTAGAGAGGAAAGGCTGTTTTGGAGCTCAAGTTCTCAGGATTTGGGCTCTCAGGGGTAGGGGAGAAGGTGACTGCTTGTTAAGAGGATCTGAAGAGAAATAACCAAGGCGTTTTTTAATTTGAGGAAGATCAGAAAGTGAGAGAGAATGGCTATTCGGATAATATCCTTCCCCTGCAATCTCTCGCAAAGGGAACTGGCCAGCCACCTGTGAATTCAATTGCTGGAGATTCGGTGGAGCACACAGGGGAAGGAGGGCGTTAAGAGTTCTCAAAGGGTACAGCATGGGGTTCAGGTTTCTATGGCAGGGTTGTTAGGGGAGGTGGGGGGCGGAGCGGGAGAGGTGGAGATGAATGATCCTGGGCAGGCCTGGGATAGGTATCAGAATTCCTTGATGAATGCGGTGGAGTTGGCAGAGAAGGACCCCAGCCGCTTTTCAATCCTCAGATGCTGCAACCTCCCGTGTAGGGGAGGAGGACAGAGGGGAGGAGGAGCCTGCGAACCCCTGTGTTTACTGACTGGGGAAGCAGGCAAGGGTGGGGGAGCAGTTGCCTGGCTACTTGAGTTTCTGGCTCCTGCAGTGGCCGAGGGGGTGGGAGAGGGTGGGGTCGCCTGGGGAGTTGAACTTCAGGCTCCTGCAGCGGTGCAGCCCAGGGTGGAAGAGGGGGAACGTCAGTGGGTAGAGGAGAAGGCGTTGCCAGAGGGGGGTAGCGGAGGGAGGAGGAGAGGGAGCAAGGGTGAGGTGGAAGGGGCTCTGGGGGAAGGGACAGGGACCCAGACAGAGAGAGAGGCTTGGGCATATTTCCTGGTTCGTTGGCAGAAATTACTGAGGTCAGTAAGGATGGTAAAGTCAAAGGTCCCGTTTTTGGGCCATCTGGACCCGTTGTCTAATTCATACTGAGGTCGTGCTATGTTACAGAAATAAACGAGGCGTTTAGGATGCAGATCCTGGGACAGGCCTAGTTTTTAGCTAGGTTGGCGGGCAGGCACCCTAGAGGTGTGCTCGGATCAGGTTTGGAATTTCGATTCCCCATGCTCGATATCTGAGGTCAGTAGCCGGGACCAAAGGGCCAGCGTCCCAGCGGTTTGGCCAGGGCTACAGACGGACGGAGGAACCGGGGGAAATGGGGATGTCTCCACTACCTCCCCTGGTCTGGAGGAGCCCTTCCTGGAAGGGTCCAGAGAACGGGGCAATCTCTGACGCTGCCGCGCTTTACAGACAGAAGTGTGGGAAGGTGACCTCAGGGATCGGATCGACATGGGGCGGGACTTACCGCTAAGCTGCCAAACCGAGAAAGAAAGCTGCTAAGTGGAGGAAGCTGCCAAGCCAGGAAAGAAGCGGGGCTCCTGAGCCATGAGGAGGGAGAGGAGGTCACCCCGAGCAGTGGAGGGATGTCCGAATGGGGTGCTCGCGCCACCCGGATTTCAAGGCACCAAATGTAAAGTTCGTGACGCAGGAAAACAAAGAGAATCAAGCCGGTCAGATAAGGGAAAAGAGAAGGTTTAATCTGCATCCCCAGGCGAGACTCATGAGCCCCAAAGGCGGGCCAGTGAATTCGAGTCAACAGGGAGGGGGCACTTCTTTTTATACAGGTGTTTGGTGAGCCCCTGGTGGGAGGGAGGGGCCACAGTTCCCAGACTAGCACTGTCCCTCGTCTGCTGCCAGGAGCCCTGCGAAGGCGGCCCTTCTGCTCTCCTCCCTGTCCTGCTCAGCCTGTTAGGAATTCCAGGGAGGGTCCATTATCTCAGTCACCATCTGCCTTAGGGTGGCATGCAGCCACTCCTGAGCTTCCCTTGGACCTAGCACTACTCTCTGTCCGGGGATTCATTCTTCAGCTCTAGCGGACAAAGAATCCGGGTTCCAGTTCAAAAATTCTGTTTCACTTGCACCACCAGACCAAGAAGGAGGGGCTGAAAATCAGCCTTGCACAGCCCTCAGATTTCTCCATGCGTCTGGTCTTGAAGCATAGCAACCTCCACCTTGGGTAAAAACTGCTGTTTGAAATGTTAACCCTGCTGTTTTGGCTTCTGTAACCACTTGCTTGCTTAAATAATAAGGAAAAATAAGACTGCTCCCATTCAAGAGAGGCCATAAACTATGTCCCAGACAGAGTTGTCAGTGCTGGAGCCAGGCCAGGCTTTGAGATATGGTCTCATGGCCCTTTCACTACAAACAGGACTTCTTTCTCAGAAGGTCCAGAAGTCTCATTCCAAATTTGGAAGACAAAGAGCTGGAAAAAGTATAAATAGGGAAGACTTCCTCCATGTGGGGCTCAGAAATTAACAGAGAGATTCTGCTCTGAGCCTGCTAGTGCTAGCATAATAAAAGACTCCAAATTAACTTGGCTTATTAAGGCGTCCCATGTTGACTCGGTGATTTACAATATAACAGTCTCAGCAGGGCAGGGCTAAAATTCGCAACTATGTTCAGCTCCTAACCCAGCTGGACAGACCGACATTTCGGCTCTCCTGCACCATCTCACCAGAAGTATGGGCCGAAATGGGAGGGAGTTTTGCAGCTGTGCTGTCCCTGAGGCTTCTCAGCTGTCCCTGCCTGAGGGGGATCTACCCTTCGGCATCTCCATCCCTCTTACCAGTCTCTACCTGGCATTTCCTGTGCTCCTTGGTTCTACTATTTCAGCTCAGCTATAATTTGTTTTTCAAGTGGATTGCTCTGTAATTTAGCTGTAAATCTGGTCTGACGCTGGAAGTAGGTGACACAGCTTCCAGCTACTCTGCAGTTATCCCGGAATCCCAGCTGCTCTCATTTGCTTATATGACAATCTGAGGGAAAAGAGGTCAGTGCCCCTGACTCAATAGTCAGGTATTACATGTTGTAAAAGTTCTTGCAGTGCACTGTTTGACAATTGCTGCCCTATAGCAAGCATGTCAAACTCACAGCCAACATGTTACATACCTGGTTTACTTATTTAAAGAGGCCTGCAGCCCGCAGGCCATGAGTTTGATATGCTTGCCCTACAGTCTAGCACTGATAAGAAAGGTAACGGGTCTGCTGAGCTGCAGTTTCAGCAATGATGTGGGCAAGCACCTGGGAAACCAATCAAGGCTGCAGCTCAGCTCTGACAAAAGTGCAGCTACTGAAGTCCATGAGGGGCTGCAGGTAATGCTGAGGCTGCAGCATAGCCTCAGTGCCCAGCCACCCAAGAAACCGGGTGATCTTCCTAGACCTCATCTTTCACACAGGGAGGTTCATGGTCATCTGCATGGAAGCCATTGTCATCGTCATTTGAGATCTGACTCTTCTCAGCCTGTGGTGGTGTAACTGAGGAAGGCAAAGGTTATCATTGTAACAGGAGTGTCTGGGTTGCACCATAAATAAAATTAGATCCTGTGGTAATGTGCAGTTAGATGAAGGAAACACTAGTCTGTGTTATAGGGGGATGCCAGGGCATTGAGAGGGAGTACTTAATAGGTTAGGAGGTAGCAATTAATAGAAGCTAAGTTGCAAACAGAAAACAGATAGGGCTACTGAAAAAAAAGTCACCGTAAATAGGATTTTGTCTAGCTAACAGGATACGACTTGTCAGGTAGGCTCTGTGGGGAGTGGAGAGCAATGGTTCAGTTTAGTTCAGCCTCCATGCTGATCCAGATCTCTGGGAGGCACACGAGCATCTTAAAATGAGGATGTTAATAATGAAAGAGTTTTAGCATTTGGGGCACAAGTGGCTCTACTATGGGATCCTCCTTCAAAAACTTGCATTATGGGAAACAAAACCCTCTCCTACCAGCTGAGGAAACTGGCATTAGAGCCTCTACAACACACAAGGAGATGCCACAGCAGCAACAACACCCAGGAGCTGTCAGCACCACCAATGGAGTGGCCAAAGGAGAGCATTGCGGGCATAGGCAGCTGGTGTGTGGACCTAGGCAAAGGCTTGATGTAAGAGATGAAGCCACATGGATCTAGAAGGGAGCAGAGACGACAGCAACAGCAGTAGGGCAGGCAACTGCCCCATGGCCACTGGAAGTCAGTTTCCTGGGGGATGCCGCAATATTGTATCTGCAGCTCAGGGGTCCAAACTGCTTCCTAGAGCAATACACAGAGGAAACACCAGCTAAGGAAGTGGAGAGATAAAGGCAAGGATGTAGGGATTCCATCCCATAGAAAGCAAGTGAGGTCTCTCTGAGATCTAGACCAGGAAGCTAAGGAGTGACCCCTGCAGGTGGCAGCTCCCCAGCTACTGTCCTCACAAAATGCTGCAGCCTCTGCAACCCCTCTCGCTCCTCCACCCCTCCCCAGAAATGCCAAGAAGCTCCCAGCTCTTTCCCACTATCTGGGCAGTAATGTTGAGGTGAAGGCGGGTGCCCTCCCCCCAGCCACTGTCCTCACAGAATGCTGCAGCCTCTGCAACCCCTCCAGCTCCTCCACCCCTGCCCAGAAATGCCAAGAAGCTCCCAGCTCTTTCCCACTATCTGGGCTGTAGTGTTGTGGTGAAGGACAGAGAGAAGTTGGTTCAGCAAGCCCTGCTCTTGAAATACGCAAATGCATATGCTTTTGCAATAGTTGTAGGTTATTGTGCAACTTGCTTCCTCATCTGCCCCTCACTCTGCTTCCCTGGCTTTGGTCTTCTCAGGAATTCAGATCGTGGAAATCTGTAAAACCCAGACACTGATGATGCCGCTGAACGCACAGGGATCAGTGAGGTGCAGATGAGGTCATGGACTGAGGGTGCTCTGTAAACTCTAAGGTGACATGTGTGTAGTGGCAAGTTTCCAGAACCCAGTGGGAGTGAGTGTGAGTGAGTCAACAAGGAAGAAAGTTGTCCAAAGGAGTTCTTAAAAGACCAACACCGCGTGGCCCAGGTTGCAGGGCAGCATAAATAGCCCCTGCCTGTGGGCCAAGGAAGCGCTCATTTGCCTGGAGACCCTGAGTCCTCAAGGAAGCAATGGTGAGTGTCAGTTCCAGCCTCTCTTTTTGTTTTCTCTGTGTCCAGCGAACGTCACCCTACCCGTTTGGGGTGCTCTAATATACTGGTGTTGAGGAAGACAGAGCTACATAGAGCCTGGGGGGTGTGGGTGTGGGTGTGGGTGTGAGAGGGCAGCATAGTGGGTAAAAAGGACCATTCTTCTGCCCCTCACTCTGCTTCCTTTGCTCACTGGGAGATTTGCCTTCTGGGCTGGGGGAGGGTGTGTGAGTGGGATAGGACACCCACCCGGACCCCAGATGCCATTGTGAGGAAGCCTCAGGTGGGAATGCAATTTCAACTTCTCGCTTGGCTCTCTCCACCCCTGATTTCTTCAAAGGAAGGTGGTGGAGGAGAAACAGCCCAGGCATTCCCAGGCCCAGGGTCAAAGTTCATCCTGGTACCACCTGCCCATTGGACATGGATAAACATCTTTGCTCTCAGCTTCAAATCCAAATCTTTGTTTTAAAGAGACCCACTAGACAAGTTTACTGATTTCCAATTAATTTTTAGAGGAGTCATTTTTCCATAATACTTTAGTCTGACATTGAGGCATAGAATGAACACTATGTGGGTTTAAGGGGATGTGGCTCTGCCCAATACCTCTATAGGCCCAGCAAAGACACCTCATCCCAGTCCTAGGTCTCCAACCCTGTGAGGTGGCTCCTGCCCAGGCCCCTTTCCGCTACAGTGAGCTGTGGTGCCCTCTGTGCCATCTTGAGCTGTTGGGCAGAATGCCTGTTCCTTTTCATTCTTCCACAGATGTGGGCAGAGGGCCCTTGAATTGTGGCAGCTGCACACCAGGGGGCAATGCCCTGGCTCTGGCTGGAGCCTTTGGTGCTCAAGGCTGAGCCTCTGCCCCAGCAAGTGCCCCGCTGCTGGCCTGTGAGCTCGCCTGGTGTTTAGAGACTCCCATGATGCCCAAGGAAGTGGTAAACTCAGAATGAGAAAGAACTGGTGCCAACAGGGTCCTCCGCAGCCCAGAACCACCAGCAGGTGGAGAAGAAAGCACTTCCTTGGCCAGGAAGGCCCTCCACTGCCTCCCCCTCAGGCTGCCTGGTGATCCCTTCCCCTATTGAACATCATTTTTTTCTCCACCTAACACCACCTTTTCCTGATGGAGCTCACCTCACATGCCCTCCTCCATGAGCCCCTCTCCCAAGTCATTCCAGGTGGAGGGGCAGAACTCTAGGTGTCCCAGGGTCTGCCAACTATTCTGAGAACTTTTTCTGGGTTCCTTCTGGAACTTTCTTCATGGAGACATTGTCTAGTCCAGGAATGGCAGGTCACCTGGCAAACATGTAGCCACGTATCCATCTTGAGTTAGGACAGATGTCACTGAGCATTCTGGCTCCTTTCCAGACAAGCACTGAAACCACCAGTGCTGGTCCATCTAAGGCTACAAGTGACAGTGATACAGAATTTTTGGACTGGAACCCGGATTCTTTGTCCGCCAGAATTGAAGAATGAATCCACGGACAGAAAGTGGTGTAGTAAAGGTGGAGGTTTATTGAAGAACAAGTTCAGACTCCCACATTGGGAGAGAGAAAGAGTCCCACAGAATGGACTCCCAGGTAGGGAGTGAGAACAGGGTCCCCCTGAGTTCCTTTCTCCCATGGCTTATAAAGGCTGTAGATACTGGGTGCTTTGATAGCCCCTCTGATTGGTCACTATTCCCTTAGACTGGTTACTATAGTAACTCCTGGGCTCAAAGGTTGAACCTTCCATGGGACATGTGAGGTCCCCCCCACCCTCCTTCCTCATTGTTTTCCTGTTCCCTTTTGGCTTTCTTCTTCTGCCTCTGAATGAAGGGCTACCTTCTCTTTATTTTGTAGATATAGACCTTTTGCTGTTTTCAGCTTCCTCATTGTATGGAAATATACTTTCTGTTGTTCTGCAGCCCTGTGCTTCCTCCAGGGTTCCCCTAATTTCCAAAATTTCTAGTATTTCCTAAACCTATCCTATATTACCCCTAAAATTCCTGTTTCAGTCCCCCCTCTGATTATGAAACCCCAACTTCTGTTGGGGACAATGGACACCGATCTGTCTGGCTGCTTCTGCGGCAAAGGGTCCTCATTAGGATGCAGCAGTCAGGGTCCCATCGGAAGTGGATGGTCCAAGGGTCCACGGATGGTGGATGTAGCGGCCTTCGTCTGCAGTTTCATGCAGAGGACCATTTGGAGCTTTAGGACTTTTAAATGGGAGGATATGAAACATAATGAGCAATGATTAAAGATTATAAAAGTATAAATCAAGGCCTGAGGAATTGGTTTTGATTGGTGGTAGTAGTAGCATAGTTTGTCCTATAGACCAAGATTTAACACATTTTATTCTGAATTGGGCTGCTTATAATATACTTAATAGTTAGGGATTTGGGGAGTCTCTATGACTTAAGAAATTTACTGTACCAGGGTTACTGAAAGTGGCTATAATAGGAGTATCTTGTGGTGTTTCTGGGTCCCGGTAAGGACAGAGAAAGTCTCCTCCAGGTACCAGCCTAGGGTTTAGATGACACTTATAAAAAGACAGAATAAGAACTGTTAAAAAAGATTAAAATACTGATTTTTTAGAAATAGCAGAGTATGTTACTTATCTGACATTCATTGTCTTCCCAGGATCCGTTTGAAAGAGAAGTTTCAGGTCCTTTAGAGGCTCACATGAGGAGAAATCTGGTGATTTAGCTGATGGCAATTCAGCTTCAATGCCCTGTGCTGGCATTCAGGGCTCACTGGGGACAGACAGATCTAGGTGTCGATGCTGCCGACCTGCTGGGAGACTTAAAGACAGTGCCTGTAAAAGGGCTTTTTGAGTTGTTCAAAGGCCTGCCCAGATAAATGAGGGCTATTCCCGAAAGATCTGGGGCAGTGTTGTCTATGTTAGCTGACGGCTTTGATTATTGGAATCTTTTAAGGACAAAGAGGGAATGTGAGTTAGGAAACAGGAGCATATAGAAAAAGGCATCCTTGAGACTTAGTCCTATAAACCACTGTGTGTCCTCTGGAGTCTGGGCAAGTAAAGCATAAGATTTCGGGACACTTGGTTGGAGAGGAATCACTGCATTATTAAGTCCTGAACTTAGTCCTCCCACTCTATTAGGCTCTTGTACCCCTAAGATGGGTATTATAAGGACTATGACAAGGTTTCAAAAAACCTTGGGCTCAAAAATAGATGGCCTATTAGAATATTGAGTCCTTCTGGAGCCTCAGTGTTGAGAGGATACTTTCTGATGTGTATGAGGCTTTTTGCAGGATCAGGAAGGCATGGGAAAGGATCAACTTACCCCAGCTGTGCCCTAAAGGCTGAGAAAAGATCTCTTTCCTGGCTTCCCAGACATGCCCGTAATGGCTACAGCCTCTGAGAATGATTTACCAGAGTTTGGGAGGTGTACAAAGAAGGTGGCTCCAGCATCGGGGAGGAAATTAATTTCCTTGCCCCTCACTGCCAGGCTTACCCAGGCTTCTGGGTGGAAATAATGACAGTCCTTGAGGAACCGGGTTGGACGACCCTGGGCCCCATCAGTCCTACTGGGCCAGTTGGGTCGCCAGCCCTGACACAAGGAGCCTCTGTCCCCAGGGGCAGTCCAACTTCCAGTGGTTTCCTTGCAGACAGGACAGGACTCCGGGGGTCCACTATGCCCCTTGGGACAATTCTGGTGCATATGTCCAACCTGGTTACAGCCGTAACAAATGATCAGACTGACGGTTCACCTCAGTACTCTGACTGGGGGCTTCTGTTTTCCCGAAGCATGGCTACTATGATTTTCTCTATTTTTGTAGCCTTAGCCTTGTTAACGTAAAAAAACCATTGAAACCTGTAAAGGATTTTTGTGAGTTTATTTGAGCCAAACTGTCGACATATGCCGGGAAGCAGAACCTCAAGGAATTGAGATAATGCTCCGGAGAATGGCGGGGTTACCTTTGTATTTATACATTTGAATCAAAGGAGGGAGTAGGTGGGTTACATGAAATTCATTGGTGATAGATTAAGGAGGGGGATAAAAGCAAAGCAGTGAAACCCCTGGGATTGGATAAAAAGTAAAATGATGGACACATACTTAGGTGGGTGCAGGATCAATTAACATGATAATGAAGGAATCTGTGGTATCTGTCCTGGTGCCCAGCACATTTGGTTGTGCCCAGGGGCTCCAACAAAAAGTGAAGTTACAAGTTACTCTCTATCATAGATCACAGAGGTGGCAATCTTCAGGAGATTTTCTAACGTATTCTCGGGACTCATAGCCCATTTCTGCAATTTTCTCCAGACATCTGGGTGATAGATTTGTTCTTTAAAAGTAGTTGTCCCAATGCTGAATCTGGGGTAATGTGGGTCTGCTTGGCCAATGCCTTCCTGAGCCTTTCTAGAAAAGCGGAGGTGTTTTTGTCAGCCCCTTAATGGTGGTTAGTTAACTGAGAGTAGTTGACAGGCTTTATTTTACTATGTCTGAGGCCTTCTATAATACAAAACTGGCAGTGCTTTATCTTCCATCTGTTTCAGGGTTCCACTGAGGGACCACAGGGGGAACTGCCTCTTGTCCTGTTAAGAAATCCCTGTTTCTTTCCTCAGAGTCCTCTATTCCCCCAGCATAACTAAGAAAATGGTCATTCCCAAAGTCTCTTGCTTTTTCTAGTATATTTTGCTTTTCAATGTCTGAGAGGGTCAGGTTTAATATGAGCATGATGTTGCTATATGAGAGATCAAATACTTGAATGAGGTTTTGGAAGACTTCAATATATCTGTCAGGGTCTTCTGAGAACTTTCCTAGGTCACTTTTAATTTGTCTCATGTCCTGAGGTGAAAAGGGGATCTGAGCTAAAGTATGGCCAGATCTTTCATCAGTCTTGGGGCAAGCTGAGGTTGGCTCAGCCCTGGGCGGCCCGCCTTCTCCCTCTGTGGACTTTGAGTTGTTATTGCCAGGAGTGAGGGATTTTACTTTACATTTTTAATATAAATCTGGCCTGTCCCTTAGGTTAAAGAAAGTTTGGACA